AAATCTTAATGGAACTGAACCTGGGACTGGTGACTTCACAGTGGAGCCTTATCCCTATAACACCCTGGTGAGGTGCCACAGAGTGACCCCCAAAGGAAGTCTGGGGCACAGGAGGCATACCTCAACTTCTTGAGCATTTAATAAGAGCTGGCTGGTCCTTTTTAGCTTGATAGGATCAAAAATGGTTGAGAGTCTGTGTGTCCCTTAGCATCAAGGTTGATCTGCCATCAACTTCACTTGTCTCTCATAAGCAATTACTATGTATCTTAAAACCAGAAGGAAGAACATGCTATATACCAAGGCATACATGTAATATTTTGGCACATATCATCCCCAGCAGTTCTCTGTTCAGTGGGATTCACGTCTGTCTCTTGTTTTTTAATAGCTTCACCCTCAAGTCAACAGTTTCTCAAAATTTGTTATATTGGCTATTTTATTTTAGTTTTTTTAAGTGTGTGTGTGTGTGTGTTTGTGTGTGTGTGCGTGTACACATCACAACCCAAGAGTAGAGGTCTGAGGACAACCTTAGATATTGGTTCCCACCCTCTATCTTGTTAGTGTTTTTTGTTGTTTTTATGCTATGTACTCTAAACTAGCTGGTTTGCCCTCTTCCTGGGACTCTCCTATCTCAGCCTCTCCTCTTGTAGGGACTACAGAGCCTTTGCTACACATCTGGCTTTTATGTACATTCTGCAGATTTGAACTCAGGTCTTCATGTTTAAGAGCTTTCACCTAATGAGTTATTTCCCTAGCCTTCCATTTTAGTTTTTTTTTAAAGCTTTCAGACTGCTTTTGCCTGCTACTGAGACAAATATATTTACCTGGGAATGCCATATATAAACTGCCCTCATTTGAATGCACACTTCCTTATAGCACTGCCCTTGAGAGAAGTCTAAGAGAGTTCACCTTTGCATGGATCAAATGATGGCCATTAGTAATTAGGTGGAGATTTCCCCCAGAAAAGAAATCATCTGGGGCAGCTCCAAACAATGTTGAGTAATCCCAACCACAAGGACACTTTGCCAAGGTCCCTGTTGTATCATTAACCTCTGGGATTTCAGAAAGGGTTGTTTTCATTTTTCTAAGAATGGTCGACAGGGGTCTGGTCACAAACACCCAGAAATGTGGTAAGGAGTCAGGTCAGATACTGCAGAGAACTGTAAAGAGGGGGAATATCAACTAAACCAGAAGTGAAAACAGCCCTTCAGATAGTGGGGCACTGAAAGGAGAGTAGGGGGCTCTACAGTAGTTTAAGATAGAGGGCCTCATTTTAGGTCAGAAGGAGAGCAATTCTTATCTAAGTTGTGCATTGGGATAAACATTGAAAACCAACACAGCTGATTGGAATAGGAAATAGAGAAATAGAACAAGACTTCCCTTGTGAAGACTATGATGAGCTTGGGAAGCATGACGACTACAGTGTTAAGCTAAAAGCATCAATAGCTAGGGGATAGGAAGGATGGGAGATGTAGCTGGGGATTTGGGTGGCTAGTCCACACCCATGTGGACTGTAAGGGGCATGGGGGTGTTTGTGCTCAAAGGCATGCACTAGCGGAACCTGGAATGTTAAGCACACAGGGTTGTTCCTCCAAGGGAAGGAGGGCAAAAACCTGTTTTCCACCTGGAAGACTGGAGCAGACATGTGTTGTTCTATCTGTGTGGTTGGAGACTCTTCTGGCACTAGCCCCTCCTCCAGACCCTTCTCAGCCAATCCTAAACCTGTTTTTACTCAGTCTGTAGAACCTATCTTTATGGACTGTACAAGGAGTTTTGATGTAGTCATGCCCAGTGTGTATTTAGCTTTGTTCCTCAAGGAGATTTATGTATGCTTTATTGTGCATGCAGGATTAAGGTAATTGTTACCAGAATAATTTTCACCAAATTGTGCTGTGCTTAAATATGCCTAAAATAAACTGCTTGGAGTCAGACTCCCAAAGTTTGAACCAATACCAGCTACTGAAGTTGTACTGTGCCAAACTTCCTTCTTACCTCCTGAGGCTCATCTCTCCACTGCCTGTGAAAGTTGCAGAGACACTCAGTCAACACACACACACACACACAACACACACACACACACACACACACACACACACAAATGGGCCACTGAGGTTTTCTGAATATCATGAAAGATGCTGTAGATGTAGCTTTCAGCACCCTGAGCCCCTGCTGAACAGACATTCTGGAGGTGCCCTGACCAGTAACCTTATGTAAGATGCATGATTTTGCAACACACATGATACTTTTCAAAATAAACATCAGTGGCCCTAGCTTTAATAAACTTTGTAGTCATTGTCACAAATATAGTGCAATGCTTAGGTGTTCTTTCTACCACTTGATAGAAAGAACAAACAAGTACCTTCACAATGTGTAACGTCAGCCTCAGAGAAATAACATTAAAGAGAAGTAACATTAGGAGAACTCATAACCAAGTTGTGACAGACTGGGTCTAAAATAGCAGCAGAGACATCCACCTTAAATATAGAAAATCTCTGAGGTCAGGGCAGAGTCCTTTTTGCCCTCTCAGAGCCTGGCAGGTTCTAGCGACTGTTGCAGGTCAGTGCTACTGCCAACAACCAAGAGATCAAGCTGCCAAGCAAGCGACAAAGGGCACTTGTTAATTGTTGGGCTTTGCTGATTATCTCTGAGCAGTTCTGGCCTTAGCAGGGAGCCGAAAGTGACTCTCTCTTTGAGCCTTTTCTCTTTCCACCCTGACCAGTTCAGAAGCTGCTAGCCTGCTGCAGCCTCTTGTCACAGGTGCAGCTACCTGATACCACATTGGGCTCCATTCCGGTCCTGCTGAACCTGGGTGACAAAATCGGATCCAAATGAGTATTATCACAGGCACTGTGAAAGCAGACTGCTCTCGGGTTTTATCTGTTACCTCAGCGCTCGGGTTTTCTCCTCCCTGGCTCTCTCCTTGGTTTCTGTCTGAGCCTTCAACTTCCAAGCTCTTCAGTGAACACCATCTACAAACTAGACTCTGTGAGGGGACTCTGAGAAGGCCAGGTCAGGGCATGCTGCCTACCCAGGAGACTAACAAGCCAGCTAGAGAGAGCAGTGTGCACAAAGAGAGCGCTGGGCTATTCCCTTTCAGACACGTGCTCTCTGCCCTCAGCGGTGCCCATGCCCGATCATACTCCCAGTGTTCACAGTTCCAAGGGCCAAGTCAGAGGTATGGTGTGAGAAAATGAAATAATGTCTTCTTGGGCAGCTCAGAGGGTCTCTTGGATTTCAGGGAGAAGCGTAGACCAACGCTGATAACATACTCATGGCCCAGGTGTGCAGGGGATAGACAAGTAGAACTAAGCCAGATTCATTTTATATGATACTGATATGATGTGAGCTCTGTTTCTATTTTTTTCTTGGAGGAATGGGGCAGCTAGACAAGGAAAGTTGATAAATGGAGGACAGAGATGAACAAATGTATTTCTTCAGGAACAACCAGGTCCCAACAAACCCTATCTATTTTTAGCTGCTTGCTTCTGAAAAGTAGCAAAGCCCAAACCTCCCTGAGCTCTTGGTTTCCTTAGTTCTTTCTTCACCCACCGACCCCTCCTGATCCCAGAAACTGTATAGCAAAAACTTTTGTAAGGAGCCAGCAGCAACTCTGTTTGGATCCTTCATCTGCAAAGAGAAAACTTTATTTGCTGGAGACTTCTGGATTCTGTCTGTCAAAGGACACTCTTCTAATTACTCAGATGCCTTGCTTTTCGTGTGTTTGTTGGGTGGTGTATTGCCCCTATGTATGTGCATGTCCATGTACACGAGAGTTCTCATGTATGTGGGAGCCTGTGTGTGGAGACAGAAGGTTGGCGTTAGGGGTTGATCTTGATCTTCCTTATGCTTTTCGAGTCATGGCCTTTCAGTTAAAGCCTGAGCTGGTTGATAGGCTCATCTCATGAGCCAGTTGTCTCTGAAGACATTCTGCCTCTGCCTTTTGAGGGTAGAATTACCGGAGTGCCACCACACACACTCAGTATTCTGTGGGTTCTGGGGATCTGAACTCTGGTCCTGCTGCCTGCACAGCAAGAACTTTAACTGTGGTGCTTTCTCCCCAACCCCAAACAACTTGTTTTTAAGGAAGTAAGCTCCAGGTCTCTCACTGTCATTGTTGTAGAAATGCAGCCTTTCTGTGGTTCCCCATATTGCTGAACATTTGAAAACAGGTGTGTGCATATGGGAAGACAAACCCCCCAGGAGACAGGTCAGCGTCAGCTGTGGGCACAGTGTCTGAACAGGTGTAATACCTGAAGGTGAAAAAAATAGTTTCTTAGTTCATTGAAACTGGTAATTTGGGTGTTTGGCTCACTTGGTGGTCTTTAATTTTCCCCCTGACCCTGCAATATTCGTCACATGCTAGTCCACACATGTTAGGGTAGGGCTTTGAAATCCAGCAGACACACTGCCTGCTGTGGGAGAGATTCCTCCACACTGTGATTTCCAGGATCTCATCAACAAAACAGAGCAATGCAAAAGGTATAGGCTACTGTGACGCTCAACCAAGGTCAAGTGAGTGACTGGCCTATAGCTAATCCAGACTGGGTGCTGAAACCCTCCCTGTCTATGTTTGCCACTTAGTAGCTATACACGGTCTGGTCTTGGTTTTGAATTCCTTTAAATCAGGTGGGAGGAGAACATAGCATCTGCTCACGAAGATGTTCAGAAATGTGTCCGAGTATGGGGGTCTGTAGCTGTAAGTGATGGACACATGGTGTGTCTGGTAAAAGCTCTCAGGTTGATGCCACAGCTATCCCTTGTGGTGTGGAAGAGCAGCCAGGGAACAGGTCTCTTCAGAGCTGAGACACACCTGCAGGACACTTTTTGAACCTTAGAGGTGAATATTTTGTTTCCGTTGTCACCACCCCACCCCATTGCTACTGTCTCAGTATCTTCCCCTCCACCCCAGCTATGAACAGTAATAACAAGATAGATCTTTCCATGTTTAGCCCTCAAGTAAGACTTCCTAAAATTCCAATGATCCGTCATTTTTTTTCTTACAGATTTCATGGCCCCATCACTTTCTGAATATCCTGAGGACCCTTCAATCTGCCATTCAAGAACCTGTTACCTGGCTCACTTTATTGGTCTCCTCCAGTGTCTCCTACATTTTCTATTCAGCCAGTAGGTCTTCTCAGTTTTCCAAAACAATGCACATGTCTGCCTTTGTGTCTGCTGTTCACCTACCTGGAACACTTTTGCCTTTAGTCCATCCTAAATAGGCTTTTGCCAGGAAGCTATCCTAGCCATTGAAGATCATTGTACCTTGGTTTAGGAAACAATGGGTTGAATTCACAAATTGAATGATCGCAGCAGGTAAAACAAGGAAGAGAGGCCAGTTCAATGGGAAATGAATGTATAAGTCTAAAAGATATTTGATTTATGGCAGCATGTCTGATACCCCCAATTACTGCTGTTTTAATGTAAATGAGGTATTTGTTTTATTTATTTATTTTTATTAATTTCCTCTCTCTCTCTCTCTCTCTCTCTCTGTGTGTGTGTGTGTGTGTGTGTGTGTGTGTGTGTGTGTGTGTGTGTGTATACAGGTGCCCAGGGAGAAAAGAGGCAAACTACCTGACCTGGGTACTGGGATCAATTTAAGTCCTCTGTAAAAGCAGCACATGCTCTTAATCTCTGAACCATCTCTCTAGCCCCCAAATGAAATATTTCTAATTTTATAAAAAGAAAAATTATATCAATCTCTTGTGTACATTTTTATATTTTATATCCAGTGGCATATTGTCAATGTCTGTCATGTCATTTAATACTAACCTAAATAAGTGTAATGACTGCCTAAGGATAAAACAAAATATGTTTAGTTAATCTTGTATTGTTGGATATTTAGTTTATTTTGAAATTTTTCCCATATTTTGTAAACAACTATAATGAGCCTCAAACTATGTTTGAAAGGACTGCAATTGTTATAGGACACACCAAGACAAAGCTCTTAGCACAAAGGAGATTTATGTGCCCCAAAGGGCAGGGAATAAGAGACAAGGTCTGGCAGTAGAGGACAAGTGAGAAGGGAAAAGGAACAAGGGAGAGGGGAAAAGAGATATTTCCCCTAGTGGGGCACATGATGACAAAAAACTGCCTCTAGAGAGAGAGGAGATGACATGGCCCAGAAGCAAATGGCAGTTTATGAGGGAACCCCATATTTGGATGAGTTGATTTGTTTTGATTGGGCATGTTAATTAGGTGAGCCAAATGGGGCCAGAACTTTTGATTGCTGGGTTTCACAACTTTGATAGCTGGACCTTGTTCAGCTTCAGAAGGAGCAAGTGGCCAAATAAGGGAATAGACCTTGGTGGCTAGCTTTAAGATTTGTAATCTATGGTTTAGCAAGGAGGAGGGAAAGGGGAAGGGCAAGGCCTGCCAGAGCCTTGTTTGTCATGCTCAGGCCTCCAAAACTCCTCAGTCTTCTTGTAGGAAATTTCTCAGTAGTGACATCATAATTTTTATGCTCGGATTTCGAAAATTGTGTTGACAGATATCATTTGAGGTGTTCTTGGAAAAAGTAAACAAAAGAAAATAGGGTTGCACATAAAGATAAAATAGTATACAATTCCATTTGCCAGAGGGATGGTAGCCTAGACTTGAAAGACTCAAACCTTGAGTCGACAGAACAGTTAGCTACATTTTCTTCTACTTTCTCATGTTCCCAAAAGCTTGAGATTTTGTCTGGATACTCCTGTGGAAAAGCCCATCGGCATTTTCACATTATCACAAACTTTCTTTCAGGATTCATGTTAGGTATTTGGGGGGAAAAAAACAAGTTTAATTCTGACAGAAACATGAAGAAGGATGCCCCATGTCCTATTATTTGCATGGTTTGCAAATGTTTTCATTCCTTGTGATGCTGTGCCATATCCTCCTGTTGTCACATGGCAGGAGCTTCCCATTTTCTGCATTGCCAGCTGCCCTAAGAAGCATTCTCCCTGGATAGATCCATCTTGTTATCTATTCCTTTCACTGTTCTCCAAACACTGCTTGCTGGCCATCTTTCAGGTTTTTTTCTGGGTAACACAATGTCTGACTTAGAATAGCAGCTAAGTGTATAGAGCTTTGAGTCAAATTATCCACCAGAATTATAATAAGGTGGAGAGGAAACCATGGGTTGTAGGTAACTTTGCTTTCATGGGAGGCCTCTCCTCTATTTAACAAATTTAAATTATTTATTTCAATTGCATCAACATAAAGATGATTAAAATGTATATTTGTTGTTATGTATTCATTATTATTACTTTTCTTTTGATTTTAAAAGAAAACATTTTCAACGGTTCCAAGGCACTGTGCTAGACAGATGAGGTAGCTATCCATCTGCATTTGGAAAGGTAAGGGTAAAGAGACACAGTCTAGAGAGAAACTCATCATTGAAAGTCTGCTGGGATGTTTGGCTCTGGCACTATACATCAAGAGCCGACTCTAGGGGCAGGGAGATGGCTCAGTGGGCAAATCGCTTACTGTGAAAGCCTATGACCTGATTTTGATGCTCAGAACTCACATAGGAAAGCTGGATGAGCAGGTAAGCTTCTATAGTCCAACATCCCTATGGTGAAATGGGAGTCAGAGACAGGAAGATTGCCCAGAAGCTTCTTCTGCAAGCTCACGAGCCAACTCATCTGGAGTATTCCACACAGCAGCAGAAACTAAGGAGATGCTATCTCAGCAAGGTGGACAGTGAGAAGGACCTCCCAAAATGTCCTCTGACTTTCACATGCATGCTGTAGCACACATGAATTTACTCCCCCCTGCAGACACACAAACACATGAATGCATGCACTCACACATGCTCTAGATGGGTGGAAGGGAGGGAGAGAGGAAGGGGGGAGGGAGGGAGGGAGGGAGGACGAACTCTAGTCTCAGCATGCTGTGACTTTTCTGCATTTCGCCTCGTAGAACCACTGAACAAATTTCTGTGCTCATTATGATTATTGGTCCCATTTATGAAAAAGATTATTAAAGTGAGAGAGGAACAAAGACACCCAAAGTCATCTAGGAGTAAATGCTGGAACCATTCATGAAATGAGTTGGCTTTATTTTAGTTTTTGGTTGTTGACTGTTCTTTATTAAATCCTTTCAAACACAAGTAAAAAATACATCATTGCTTTAGAAAATTAAAGTTTTTAAAGCAGATATTAATTGTACACAATAATGGGTTTCTCTGTGACATTGTCATACATTATATAATGCTTTTTGATCGTAATTTTAAACCTTCTCTTGTCCTTTCATTACTCTCTCAGATCTCCTCCTTCTTCCTAACTAATCTCCCTTCCATGTCCCTTCCCCTGCATTCCTCTTCCCCTTCTTTTCCCCCCTCCTCTCCTCTTTCCTCCTTTCCCTCCTCTCTCTCTTTTGTGACCAACTGAATTTAGTCGGTATTGCTTACAGGAGAATAGGTGAGGGGTTATTTACAGAAACATGGGTCCCCTGTCAGGGCCTATACCACTGAAGAACAAGCATTAACTTTCTGACAAGCATTAGCTATATCTACGTCTTCAAGGATTTGACTACATCTCCATCTTCAGGAATTTGTGGGATGGATGCTGCATTTGCTACCCCACACTGGCACTGCTGTGACCTGGCAGCCACAGATGGCAGAATATCCATATGGAGCTTCAGCATGTCACACTGATCCCCTTGCTCTTAACTCTCATGTGACAGGCCAAGTTCTCAGACTCCTCATGCTCTGTGGGCTGAGGGTCTATGAGCACTGATGAGCTCTGGAGCTTACAGATTGGAAGTTACACTTCCAAGTTATACTAGCCAGAATTTCTCCTCCCCGTGTAAGAAAATTGTCTGTTGTTAGTAAACCATTCATGTGAATGGTTTTTTTTAAAAACAAAAACAAGATGAGTAGAAATAGAAACACACAGAGGAGGGGAAACTTCCCTATATTTCTAGCCCCAAAATTCCTGATGGAAATTATTGTATATTCTTCCTGGCTTAAAAATAAAGATATTTTTGTTTTGTTTGTTTTTGAGAGAGGAAACTGTAACCAGATCTTCATATCCAGGCATTCTGCCTCTGTGGGTTCATCCAAACATCTGTGGAAAATAAAGAAGCCTCTTAGTTTGTACAATTGATAAATGCTAGTAAAAACATAAAAGGGGAAATCACATCTGCACTGAATATATACAGACTTTCCCCTTAAACAGTGTAGGATAAGTCCATTGTGTTAGGCATTCTGAGTAAGCTAGAGAAGACTCAGAGGCAACTTGATGGGGATGTCCTGTAGGTGTCAGAGTGATCTGGGGCAGGGGCATACCTGTAGGAGGCTTGTTCTGTAGATGAGGGCAGTGGGTCTAGAAAGCATGCAGAGGAAAGTGGATTAATGTGACTGGGTCTAGGGCCAGTGGGCAGGGCTATAAAGGTATATCCAAGGGTTTGCATTCATCCCAGTGTGGTGAGGAAGCAGCGAAGGGTTGGGAATGGCTGAAAGACTGATACAGTAATGTGCAAGAAGTGGCAGGGCAGCGGAAGTAGAGAGAAGTGGGCAGGCTGGACAGATAGTGAGGGATGGAGATTATGGAGCACGGTGTCCACGTGGATGTCAGGGGCGAAGGAAAAGAGGCTTAAAGGATCAAATGCTGGCTGTTGGAACACGCTGGCCTCTCCCTTCATGGCTCTGCTGTATGCGTATTGCTATTGCTTCTGACTTCACTGCTTTCTCTTTTCCATCCATTTCACATTTGTCTAGGCATGGTCTCTTCCTGAGAAGCCAGCATCAGGCTCTTGCAGGAGAGTGATGGTGCATATTCATTGTGTAGGTAAGAGAATTTTTACAGGAGCCACTGTAAAAAGATGTGTCCAGGATATAAGGAAACAGAAAGTAGAAAGTGGTTTTGCATGGCTAGTAAGACTGGTACCTCCCCAGAGGCAGGGAAGAACCAGAGGGGAGGTTATTAGAACTCAGGGAAAAGAGTATACAGAAGTGTCCTCCCCTCCCCCACCAACTCTGACCAGAGCTGCATCTTTCAAGAGTGGGCAATTTTCCTCAAAGGAGGAATCCCAAGCAATTTCATCCCAGATACAATCTCCTTCCTGCGATACACACCACCACCCTTTGGTGGGGAATCCTTAGTGGCCAAATCCAATTAGAGGAAGCAGGCACAGAAGCCCTTTGATGCAATCCCTGGGAATCAGCCCCAGGGATCAGGACAAGATGCAGGGAACACTAGGAGAAGCATGTGGACGGCATTCTAACAGTGCTGGGGACCATCCCTAGTTCTTGCCTAAGTAAACCATTTCTTCTGTTAGGTCTTACGATACCCTGTAATTTCCACCAGCGCAGAATCACCCACTGCCATCCCTACTTGCTAGGACGAATTTAATCTAGTTTTACTTTTTTTTTCATGCTTTCTATAGGGCATGTAGGAAAGGCTCCATGAATGGTGCATAAAAATTTGACTTCATTTAGAAGCTTAACTGCTCAGTCTAGCATCAGCTGGCACCTTAGGTGTAATGGAAAGAAACAAGCCACTGCACTGGAGACAAGGTTTAGCACCTTCCACTCCAAGATACATACTTGCTGGTTTTTCATTCTTGTTTGGATGGATCTGCATGCCATCAGTCAAGATGCTGCAGAAGCTTCCTCTGTGAGAAGCTAGGATTCCTACCAAAAGGTAATATGCACTAGGATCTCATTTTTAT